CAAAAAGTACTTTTGCCAAAAGCTCAGTATGACTGGATCAATTTAAGATTCCAGGATTTTAAATCAATCAGTGACTATAATTCTGCCATGTTCCAAATAACATCTAAACTAAAGTTATGCGGACAAAAATTTACTGATGCTGATATGTTGGAGAAAACCTTTTCTACAATGCATATTTCTAATATGCTGCTACAGCAACAATATAGAGAAAAGGGTTTTAAAAAATACTCCGACTTAATATCAGTATTATTGGTAGTTGAGCAAAATAATGACCTTTTGATGAAAAATCATAATATGAGACCCACTAGTTCTAGTCCTTCGGTTTATGGTCCATCTGGCCATAATTTAGCCACTGAATCAAATGCAACATACAGTGGCATTAGAAGGCATGTTAAACGTGGACATTTTAATGGTCATAATAACAAGTCCCATCGAGAATATAAACGAGTCAATAGATCGAATTATAAGGGCAAGGGCAAACAAAAAGCCCATCAAATAAATTGCCCTCCAAAATCCTCGGGAAAATCGACTTGTTATAAATGTGGCATGACGAGGCATTGGGCTAATAAACGTCGCACGGCTAAACATCTGATGGAGTTATTTCAAGCTTCTATGAATTTAAACAAAGGCAAAATTATGGAAGCTAATTATGTCAATGACACAACTCCATCTCTGCCAAAATTTGATGTATCCGACTTTTTCGCTGATGATGCTATTATGGACGATGCTTTTGCCATAAACCAAAATGTTACAAAATAAAACAGTAGACTCCGTATGTTGTATAATACTAATTTTATGTATTTTTTCTTTCTTCCACTTTTATTTTGTTTTTAAATAAATATGTGTAATGTATATACTCTTATGTTAAATAAAATGAATAATTTGTGATCAAGCTAATGTTTATTTATATATATTGAAGATATGGATCATTCAAATGATAAAGAGCTGTGTCTGATAGACAACGCCACAACGCACACCATTTTGAGAAATAAAATATATTTTTCTCAAATGACTTTAGTTGAAGCTAAAGTCAATATAATATCAGGTATTGCGAAGCTCATTGAAGGCTCTGGGAAAGCATATGTGATGCTCCCTAACGGGACAAAAATAATTATAAATGACGCTTTATACTCCAGCAAATCGCGGAGAAATCTATTAAGTTTTAAAGATATGCGTCAAAATGGTTATCACATAGAAACCATGAATGAAAATCAAAGGGAATATCTTCGTCTCACGACAACTAAATCGGGCACTAAATTTATTTGTGAAAAAATGCCAGCATATTCCTCAGGACTATATTTCACATATATTAGTCAATTCGAAATAAATTTGGTTTCTAACATAAAGTTAGATGATCAGAAAACATTCATGTTGTGGCATGACCGTTTAGGTCACCCAGGCCAAGTAATGATGCATAAAATCATTAACACTTCACTTGGACACCCATTAAATAATATCAGGGTTCCATTATCAAATGATTTTCCTTGTAAGGCCTGCTCTCTTGGCAAAATGATCATCATGCCTTCTATAAATAAAATTGCAACTGAATCACCTGCATTTTTAGAAAGGATTCAAGGAGATATTTGTGGGCCGATAGCCCCACCATGTGGACCATTTCGATATTTTATGGTGTTGATTGATGCTTCAACACGTTGGTCACATGTCAGTCTGTAATCGACTAGAAATTTAGCATTTATTAAACTCCTTACTCAAATCATGCGATTAAGAGCTCATTTTCCGGATCATTCTATAAAGAAAATCTGACTTGACAATGCAGGAGAATTTACATCCCCATCATTTAACGACTATTGTATGTCGATTGAGATTGACGTGGAGCACCCTGTTGCTCATATCCATACACAAAATGGTCTTGCAAAATCTTTGATTAAACGATTACAGTTAATCGCTTGACCATTATTAATGAAGTGTAATTTACCTTCATCAGCTTGGGGACATGCTATTTTGCATGCAACAAATTTAATTCGGCTTAGACCGACTACATATCATGAATATTCCCCAATGCAATTAGTTACTGGACATGAGCCAAACTTAGCACACATTAAGATATTTGGTCGTGCTGTTTATGTTCTGATTGCTCCACCTCATCGTACAAAAATGTGTCCTCAAAGAAGGTTGGGAATTAATGTTGGTTTTGAATCTCCCTCAATAATAAAATATCTCGAACCGATGACTGGTGACTTATTCACATCACGGTTTGCAAACTGTCATTTCAATGAGACAATGTTCCCAACCTTAGGGGGAGAAAAATACTAAATTAGACCCAAGTACGAAAGAGATTACATGGAATGCAACAAGATTATCACATCTTGATTCAAGATCAAAAATATGTGAACAAGAGGTGCAAAAGATAATCCATTTACAAAATGTTGCAAATCAGTTGCCTGATGCATTCACAGATACAAAGAAAGTGACAAAGTCACATATTCCTGCTACGAATGCCCCTTCCAGAATCGAAATCCCAATAGAGAATTCTGAAAAATCTCTTACAAATGATTCTTCTATACGCAAAAAGCGTGACAGGCCACTTGGATCGAAAGATATAAAACCAAAAAAACTAAAAGGCATGAATTGATCTGTGATGCCAAAGATGTTCATCCTTCTGAACAAGAAAATGAACAATTTGAAAACACTGGCATAGAAAATGATATTGACAAAACAAACATCTCAAATGATGATCCAACTTCCTTAAACGAGGAAGATATTCCAGATAACAATAGAAACGTTGATAATTATGAAATTTCAATAAACTACGTTTCTACTGTAATGCAATGGAATCGAAAAGATGTTGATATTAATGACATATTTGTCTCTGACGTGGCCACAAATGTTATGAATGAAAACAATGAGAATGAGCCAACATCATTTGAAGAATGTCGGAAACGACATGATTGGCTAAAATGGAATGAAGCTATTCAGGCCGAATTAAAATCACTTGAAAACGTGATGTTTTTGGACCGATAGTCCCTACGCCAAAAGGCGTAAAACCAGTGGGTTTTAAATGGGTATTTGTGCGTAAACGCAATGAGAAAAATAAAATTGTAAGATATGAAGCCCGACTTGTTGCCCAAGGTTTTTCTCAAATGCCAGGAATTGATTATGAAGAAACCTATTCTCCAGTAGTTGATGCAACTACATTAAGGTTTCTCATTGGCATGTCTGTTCTTGAAAGGATGCAAATGCGCCTAATGGATGTAGTGACTGCATATTTATACGGTTCACTCGATACAGACATTTATATGAAAGTCCTTGGAGGATTTAAAATGCCTGAAGCTTATAGCTCGAAACCTCGAGAAATGTTTTCCATTAAATTACAAAAGTCATTGTATGGACTAAAATAATCTGGGCGAATGTGGTATCGTCTCAGTGAATACCTTCTCAAAGAAGGATACAAAAATGATCCAATTAGTCCATGTGTTTTCATTCAGCGATCAGATTCGGGATTCGCCATAATTGCAGTATATGTTGATGACTTAAATATTATTGGAACTCCCGATGAAATTGAAAATACTGCAAAATATCTTATGAAAGAATTTGAAATGAAAGATCTCGGGAGAACCAAATTTTGTCTCGTACTTCAAATTGAGCATTTGAAGAATGGAATTTTCATCCACCAATCCAACTACACCGAGAAAGTGTTGAAGAGATTCTATACGGACAAAGCTCATCCTTTGACTTCACCAATGGTCATTCGATCTCTCAACATACACGATGATCCATTCCGTCCCCGAGAAGATGACGAAGAAATACTCGGTCCCGAAGTACCATATCTGAGTGCTATTGGAGCTTTAATGTATTTAGCTAATAATACTAGACCAGATATTGCATTTTCTGTAAATTTATTAGCTAGGTACAACTCATGCCCAACAAGGCGTCATTGGAACGGGATCAAGCACATATTCCGTTATCTTCGCGGTACAACTGATCTCGGCCTATTATACCACAAAGATGAAAAGCCGCTTTAATGGGATATGCAGACGCTGGATACTTATCAGATCCTCAAAAGGCGAAATCACAAACCGGGTACGTATTTACTTATGATAACACCGCAATCTCATGGAGATCTATGAAGCAGACATTGACAACTACATCATCAAATCATTCTGAGTTAATTGCACTATATGAAACCGGAAGAGAATGTGTGTGGCTACGATCTATGATTCAACACATTCAAAACGAATGCGGTATGAAGCCTATTACTTGTCACCCGACTGTGATCTACGAAGACAACACTGCGTGCATAGCTCAAATTAAAGAAGGCTACATCAAAGGAGACAGAACGAAACACATATCACCAAAGTTCTTCTCTACTCATGATCTGGAGAAAGAAAGGGCGATCAACATTCAAAAAATCAGATCTAGTGAAAATCCGGCTGATCTCTTCACCAAATCTTTACCCCCGAAGAAGTTCATAGAACTTGTACAGAAAATCAGCATGCGTCGCCTTCAAAATATAGCCTAAGTTCAGGGGGAGTATTTGAATGCACTGCACTATTTTTTCCTTCATGAGGTTTTTATCCCACTGAGTTTTTTCTGATAAGGTTTTTAACGAGATAGTACATCCAAATACAACGACATTATAAGTCGTAATCTCTACCCCTTAATTTTCACACACGTTATGACAATAAGTTTTTAATTACAAATACATATTCAAGGATGAACATTCAAGGGGGAGTGTTGTAAAACCACCAAATTGACAAGTGTGAATATTCATCATTGTAATCAGGACACTAAGCAAACACAAATCCTTGTAATCACACACATGGCAAGATTCAATACTGCTAGCAACAAATTATGTAGAATCATTCCTAGATGATTCATCCATAAGCTTGGCTAGTATAAATAAGGTTTGTTTCGTTCATTGTAAACATACACAAACTTAGAAATTCAGAAATTCTCAGATATTAAAAAGAAGATATTTAGAATTTTTATTAATATATCTATTCTTCTTTTAAGTCCTAAACCAATTTCTACCTAAAATATTGAGAGGACGAGCCAACGACTATCTCAATCACGCCATAGGAATATACATTTCCATTTCCGGATCTGAAGCTTGGAGCTGCAGTGTGACACCAAAAAGAGAATCCGCGAGATAGGGGAATGGCGGCGTTTGTAAAGCTAGACGATTCCCCAATGTTCCATAAGCAAGTGAGATTTCTATTTACTTATTTTAATTTTCATTTTTTCGTGGTTCATTTTGCTTGGTTGGTTATATATTTGATCCTTATTACTTCAAAATTCAACATTTTTCTAATCCAGGTGAGATCTTTGGAACATGCCACAGATGAACTGAGAGACCGCTGTCAAAAGCTATACAAGGGGTGTAAGAAATACACGTCAGTATAAAATTCCGTCTCTGCTTGCATAATGATATGTTTCTCAACTTCTTTAAAAACGATTTTTCCACAATGTATTTTTTCATTAGTGTAATGAATAAATGGAGCAATAAGCCAATAATCACTAAGACTAGAATTATATGTGAGGGCTCACTGGTTTTACTAAAAGGGATGACAAAGTTGTTACTGAAGCTAGATTTGAAGTAGGAAGTTATAATGCTAACCTAACATTGGTATCCCTTTAGTAATACAAGAAGAAAATTCAGTAACCTCTTATTTGATTCAAAAGAGGGTAAGGGATACTGTATTTCATATAATCTATGTTGTAATTACTAGTATATTTTATATTTTATAAATGTCATGATATAAGTGTATCATGATATCATGGGGAAACAGTTCTACATAAAAAATGAAACTAATTGAAGGAACTTCAAAAGCATAAATCATATTCTGGATGGTAAATGTCTTCCTCAATTTAATGTGAGCGTCTTGAAAACGACGTTCTATTTTTAAAAGAGGAAGTCATTTCCTTGAAGAACTTTTTTTTATATCTTTGTGGTTTAACCATAATCCGATATCATGTATCAATTCATGTTAGCCGACCCCAAAATCTTTTGGGACTAAGGCTTAGATGTTGTTGTTGTTGTGGGTTAACCATTATTAGCAATAGAAAAAAATTCATCAACGTACTTCTTTGTGCTAACAAATAAAGCGTAAAGCTTGTTTTGAACTGGGTGAAGACAATGGGATACCAACATGCATGTTTATTTGTAGTAAGAGAGATAAAGAGCAATGTGAAGTGCAATTAGATGGAAAAGAGCTAACCGATTAATGACTTTTTCAAGTATTTAGGACATGCTATATCAAGATATTGAAAAGGTATAACCAATTAATGACTTTTTCAAGTATTTAGGACATGCTATATCAATATATTGAAAAGGTATGGCACATAAGATTAATACAGGCTGGCTCAAATAGAAAGCAGTAACAAAATCCATGTGATCAAAATGCATCCATTAGTTTGAAGAGATTTCACAAAACTGCTAATTGACTGACTTTCTTGTATTGATCTTTATGTTGGCAATGAGAAAGCATTTATTGAAGAAGATTAGTGTGTTAGAAATGCATATGTTACACTCAGTGTATGGTAAAACTCAAAGAGTTAGAATCTGGAACGAAGTGATTTCTGAGAGAGTGAGTGTAGCCGCTATTGGTGATAATGTAAGGGATCACATGCTGGCTGGTTTAAGCAATTTGATCCCCAAATTTACTTGGACTAATGGGTGTAAAAGGAAGGTTAAAGTTCGGAGCTTAATAAACATCTCAATATGGTGCATGATAGAAAAGAGTGGAGAAACAGAATCTTGGTGGGTTGACTCAGGAAATTTTCTATTGATTCATGTATCCGAGTGTTGATTTGGGATTAAAGTTTGATTGTTGGCTGGTCGGAGTTTGGGACAACATACCGGGAGTTTGGGAGAATCTATATCTCCCCCACTCTCTTCTCCACTCCTCCCAACACTTCCAACTTAACACACACCTCCCTTTCACTTCACTTCTCCCTCTCCAAAATCTTCGTGCCAAACAAAAGCTAAATGATTTCTTAGGTATTTTGTTGCCTGAGATCATATATAAACCAACAAGAACTGCAGCAAAGCAGAGCTTGGATCCTAAATCAAATCACCACAATCCATTTACCCTCAAAGCTTATGACCTCCACTGTTAGGTGGTTGTCAAGATTTTCTTTGCTCCTTCCAAACTGTAGTCTGTAGATTTGTGAATTGTGACAGTCCTTGACTAGGAACATCCAAATTAGAAGATTAGAATTCATAAGTGGAGAGTGCAAGCACAAAACTTCAATTAAAAACAAGGGAACCCCACCAAGTGGTGTACATGCTTAGTTTGATTTAGAAGATTAAAATTGTCCGATTTCCTTCAATGTCTGCTCTTCATCTTGCAAGTCTTGTATACTAATTTGAATTCATTCCCTTGGCTTTCAATCCTTACATTATAGAGAAATTGGGTGTTGCATTATCTATCTGTTTGACAATGTGTTAATGCCACCAGTGAAACTCTTGGAGAAGCACACAATGGGGACAATATCTTTGCAGACTCATTGGAGGCATTTGGTGGAGGCCAAGATGATCCCGTCAGTGTGTCAATCGGAGGTGACTCATATTGTTTTAGCTCTGCATTTTTTATCACGGCTAAGTGGTATTCTAGTGATAAGGATGTTAACCGAGCCTTATAATAAACTTTCCTTTTAAAAATATTATAATGCTCAAGGTTGTACTGTTTTCACCACACACATGTACAGACCTATATAAATACACACACATACATGAATGAGTAGTAGCCACCCTGTGAATGATATTGAAAACAGAAAATTACTTAAAACCGCTTTAGTGTTTGTGTCACATTTGTCTTCTGATCATGAGCACCCCAATCCGCACACCAAGAATAAATCCAGGCGAATTGCTTGTATAATGACTTCTGCCTACAGCAAAAAGGTCTACAAGAGTATTTCATGTCCAGCAACCCATGTGAAGATGCAACCACTGCCCATCTCTATAATGTGGCATTTAAATTGTGACATTTTTTTAGTGTTTTGTTTTGTGAGAAAGGGTTAAATTACTTAAATGAACTTGGAAAAGGATTAGATTTAGCACAAAATGGATGCTCGTTCATTTTTCTTCACAAATTGACAATGACCATGTGAAATATAAGACTCATTGTTATTGATATGTCAAAGGATTACACAAGGTCTATACATATAGCTACCACTAGGGTTAAATACACAAAGTTGGCTGAGCTCAATGCAGTTAAAAATCTTGTTACATGCAAGCTGATCCGTCGTGCTGAAATAACTTGTCATCGTTTGCCCATATATAATAGTCTCTCGGAGGAAGTTACAATCAACAATATATGTAGTCCTCTCATGAAATCATGATTTACCGTGTTAGAAACGATGTGCATTGCGGCTTGGTTATCACACATTAGTTGCACCGGTATCATGCTTTCATTGGAAAAATCTTGAAGATGGTGTTTTAACCATAAACTCCGACATGCAACAAGGGTCATTGTACGGTATTTTGCTTCAACAATTGATTCAGAAATTACATCTTGTTTCTTAATCTTTCATGAAATCAAGTTTTGATGAGAACTGAAAAATATAAATCAACGAAATAAACCGTTGCCCAGAATAATCAACGGTGGAAACCGTTGCCCAGAGCCAAAAGCTAAACTTCAATTTTATTTATAGATGACCAAGAATGAATCCTAACAAGGGGTTTAAATACCCTTCTAGTAAGGTCTATGCCCAACTCCCAGCTGCACCCCAATTATGCAAATCTTGTTCGATTACAACCGTAATAGGGAGACCAAGGACGACGAAATAAAGTTGTGGCTTGCGCCACCGTCTATCAGTATGGTCATCGTGCATCCCACTACCACCCCTCAGAGTCTCATAGTTCGAGGGTTGAAAATTCCAGGCTTCCAGCCATAGAATAGATCGGAAGATATACCTAATCTCCTTTTGACCCCCCCGACCTTTTTGAACCTTTTCCTGGCCGGTTATTTCACAATAATCAAGCTGTTGGAGGTCCAACTCCTAATCCTTCTCAGCTATCATTATCCGTCACTGCTTACAGGGGTAGTAATGCCCCAGTGTAAATGATTTCTTACACCTAAAGTATTATCCTTTTGCTCGCAATTCTTCTAACACCTTCGGTAGGAGTCGAGTGAACCTAGAGCGTGCAGTAGACAGCCCGGACAGCCCTGTATTTGTCCTCGGGGGCTGCCTAATATATTTAAGAAAGCTGCCATTTGTTCCCTCATGCTGCCGTCACTCATGGCCGTGCTGTTACTCCCACTTGGATGCGAAAAACTGCCCGAACGCAATTCTGTATTGTAGGGTTGGCTTTCCCGGCCTCCATCTTGAAAAGACAGATTGTCCTCAATATCTCTGGCCAATTCCATTGCTATCTCCAGGCTGTTTGACCGCAACAACCGTAAGGATCCACGAATCGGTCCCTTCAGTCCGTTCATACAATTTGAACACGATTTTCACTATGGGTCATCTGGAAACAATCTTTCAATGCTTCAGTACAGGGGTAATGTTGGGCTGTAGGCTTCGGCCCATTCAGATCTGGGAGCCAAATAAACAAAGAGCAGCAGCCTGCTCTAGTTAAATGTGCAGGCAGCCCTAGTTGGGCCTGTTTCTTTGGTGGCAGTCAGGCCCAGAAACTTATTAAGGGGGTGTTTGGAACCAATTCTGATTCTGCTTCTTTTTTAAAGTAGAAGCAGAATCAGAATCAGAATCAGTTTTCAGAAGTTGGTCCCCCCAACTTCTAAAAAAACCGATTCTAGGAGTAAATTAGAGCACCCGAATAACTTCTGCACTTTCACCCAAACACTCCAGCTTTTGCTTCTGCTCCCTGGAGGAGCAGAAGCAGTTTTAAAAATCAGATCCAAACACCCCCTAAGTGTTTTACCCTAATTGTTTGCCTATATATATATTGACTCCTGTACTTGTAAACTATGACTTGTATCATTCATCATCTCAATAAGAAAGAAAACCCTAGTTGCCCCCGTGGATTAGGTCAGTAACATCTACTAGCTGAACCACGTTAGATTCGTGTCGTTCTTCTCGTTCTCTTCTAGTTTTTCAGGTTGTTGTGTGTGAGTGCGCCCTAACCTAACAACTGGTATCAGAGCAAGGTTAGCCACCACCACATATTCGACCACCACCACTGTTGCCGCCTTGCATCTTCAGCCTCCTTGTGCCGCCAACAGTGCGCTGCCGCAGAAGAATATAGCCGGCAGATTATGAAGGACTGGGACAATGGCATATGACGGAAAAACCAAAGTCGAGAAGTTTGATGGACAAGATTTTGGATGGTGGAAGATGCAAATTGAGGATTTGCTGTGTCAGAAGGATTTGGATCAAGCCTTGACATGGAAAAGACCAGAAAAGATGGGTGATGATGAATGGGCTGCTCTAGACAGGAAAGCTTAGGCCGTTATCAAATTTACCCTAGCCAAGAGTGTGGCGTTTAACATCTTGAAGGAGACTACTGCATGTGGTTTGATGAAGGCTTTGTCAAACATGTATGAGAAACCATCGGCGTCAAATAAGGTATTTCTGATAAGACAACTAGTAAACACCAGAATGAAAGAAGGTGCTTCTGTTACCTCGCATATTAATGAGTTTAATACTATCATATCCCGCTTGCTATTTGTTGATATTAAGTTTGAAGATGAAGTCCAAGCTTTATTCTTGTTATCCTCGTTACCAGAAAGTTGGTCAGGAACAATCACTGCGATTAACGGTTCAACGGGAACCTCTAAACTCACATTTGAGGGCTTTGTTAAGTACTGAAAGGAGAATCTTCTAGAGCTTTGTTAAGTACTGAAGGGAGAGGTAGAAAGAAAGAGAAGGGAAATGGCAGAGGCCGATCAAAGTCTAGAAAGAGGAGCCAGTCAAAACCGAGAAAAGATATTCAATGCTGGAGCTGCAAAGATACTGGGCTGCTCTAGACAGGAAAGCTTAGGCCGTTATCAAATTTACCCTAGCCCAGAGTGTGGCGTTTAACATCTTGAAGGAGACTACTGCATGTGGTTTGATGAAGGCTTTGTCAAACATGTATGAGAAACCATCGGCGTCAAATAAGGTATTTCTGATAAGACAACTAGTAAACACCAGAATGAAAGAAGGTGCTTCTGTTACCTCGCATATTAATGAGTTTAATACTATCATATCCCGCTTGCTATTTGTTGATATTAAGTTTGAAGATGAAGTCCAAGCTTTATTCTTGTTATCCTCGTTACCAGAAAGTTGGTCAGGAACAATCACTGCGATTAACGGTTCAACGGAAACCTCTAAACTCACATTTGAGGGCTTTGTTAAGTACTGAAGGGAGAATCTTCTAGAGCTTTGTTAAGTACTGAAGGGAGAGGTAGAAAGAAAGAGAAGGGAAATGGCAGAGGCCGATCAAAGTCTAGAAAGAGGAGCCAGTCAAAACCGAGAAAAGATATTCAATGCTGGAGCTGCAAAGATACTGGGCATTTCAAAAATCAATGCCCTAATCTTCATAAAGGAAGGAAGTTAATGCAGCCACTGACGATTCAGATGATGCCCTTATCTGTTGTGTTGAAAACTCAACAGAAACATGGATTATGGATTCTGGTGCATCATTTCATGCTACTTTCAGCACGAAAGCGATGAAGAATCTATAGACTGGTAATTTTGGTAAAGTTCGTTTGGCTAATAACGACTCTCTTGACATCACAGGGATGGGTGACGTAGACTTAAAGACTTCATTGGGCACCACTTGGACATTGAAAGACGTTCGGGTCATTCCAAGCCTTAAGAAGATGCTGATTTCTATTGGGCAGTTGGATGATCAGGGATTTGATGTTACTTTTGGTGAAGGACAATGGAAAGTTGTCAAGGGGAATCTTGTAATCGCCAAAGGCAAAAAGGGTACTTTATATATGGTTGAAGCTCCTGATGATGAGATGAATGCAGTGATCAGCGGGCTGAATCCATCCAGTTTGTGACATCAACAGCTAGGCCACATGAGTGAAAAGGGAATGAAGATGCTCGTTGCAAGGAGGAAACTTCTAGATTTGAAAAAGGTGGATTCTGAGTTTTGTGAGCCTTGTGTTCTTGGCAAAAAAAAGGTTTCTTTTGTGAAGACAGGTCAGACACCGAAAACTCATAAGTTGGAGCTAGTTCACATGGATGTGTTTGAGCCAACGCCAGTCTCTCCCCGGGAGGATCAAGCTACTATGTGACCTTCATTGATGACTCAACACGCAAGGTATGGGTCTACTTTCTTAAAAATAAGTTTGAGGTTTTCAATATTTTTAAGAAGTGGAAAACTGCTGTTGAATTGGAAACTAATCTGAAGGTAAAGTGCTTGAAATCAGACAATGGTGGTGGATACATTAGCACATAGTTTATTCATTAATGTGCTGAACATGGCATTCGGATGATAAAGACGGTTCCGGGCACTCCTCAACAGAACGGAGTGGCAGAAAGTATGAACATAACTTTGAATTAGAGGGCCAGAAGTATGAGACTTAATGCCGGGCTTCCAAAGACGTTCTGGGCTGATGCAGTGAACACTACCGCTTATCTTATCAACCGGGGGCCATCAGTACC